TCCTCGTCCTCCTCCTCCTCCTCGTCCTCCTCCTCGTCCTCCTCCTCCTCCTCCTCATCCCTCCTCCTCCGCTCCTGATGGTGCTTCTCCCGCCGTCTGCTGCTGCGCCTCCTCGCCGGCCCTCTCCCGGCGGCACCGGGGGACCTTGTGGCCTGCGCTGCCGCTCGCAGCGCTGCCTTTTGGCGGCTCGCTTCGGCGGCGCGCCCAGAGGAGGAGGAGGAGGATGAGGAGGAGGAGGAGGAGGGGGGAAGGCAGATGGGGGCGGGTCGTGACGAAATCACGACGGAGGGCTTTTCTTTGCTTTCGGCCTCTGGGAGGGCCCATTCCTCCTCCCCCTCCCCGTTCCTCCTCCTCCTCCTCCTCCTCCTCCTCCTCCTCCTCCTCTCCTCCCCCTCCTCCTCCTCCTCCTCCTCCTCCTCCTCCTCCTCTCCTCCTCCTCCCTCCTCCTCCTCCTCCTCCCCCTCCTCCCTCCTCCTCCGCTGCTCCTCCTCCCTCCTCCCCTCTCCTCCCCCCTTCTCCTCCTTCCTCCTGTCCCCTCCTCCTCCTCCTCGTTCTCCTCCTCCTCCTTCTCCTCCTGCTTCTCCTTGTCCTCCTCCTCCTCCGAATTGTTCAGAAGCTTAGCTGCCCCGATATGCCCGTGTTGAAGCGCAGCGCGTGCCGTGTTCGAGACGTTCGTGTTGGCACGCCGCGCGTTGGCTCGGCACGTGCTTGTCAGCAAATTCGCGAACGTATCACTCCAGAACTACGTGTTCAGTCTATGGTTCGAGGACCGTGCCAACCCGCTACGTACTGCGTGTTGCGTATCGCGGCAGCTAACAAGTTCAGAAGGCCTCCGGCCTTCTAAAGAGCTCTCTGGGCCTTTGTCGAAGGCGCAGGGGGGGGCTTCTCCAGAAGGTTGGGGGGCTTGAGAAGCCCCGCCGCTTTCTGAGAAGGACTGCCCCCTATCACTTTCCCTCTCTGCGCGCCGCCGCCGATCGATGGCGCGAAGCCGTGCCTAACAAGTGTCCACATGTTGAAGAGGACAATGGGGAGGACGAGCCAGCGAAACAAAGATTTTATGAACACCAGCTTTTGGAGATCAGCACGGACTGTTTGGATCTGCGCTGAAACCTCTTGTTGGCGCTTTGGTCCGCGCGCCAGATCTAAGAATTCCGTTTGGATCTCTGAACGCTTATGTTTTAGTCGTTTGGTCGTCCAATTGTTGGAGGTGTTTCACGACGCCTTCCCCCGAAACTCTTTGCCTGCAATGAACTTCGTCCTCCCCCCCTCATCATCATCATCATCATCATCATCATCATCATCATCATCATCATCATCATCATCATCATCATCATCATCATCGTCATCGTCATCGTCATCGTCATCGTCATCGTCATCGTCATCGTCCTCATCCTCATCCTCATCCTCATCCTCATCCTCATCCTCATCCTCATCCTCATCATCAGCAGCATCATCATCAGCAGCATCATCACCACCAGGGGTCATCCCCCCTCGATCATCAGCGGTGGCCGCCGCGGTGTAATGTTTTGTGTCAGTCGTTGTTGGGGTCCCATTCCGTCAATAAGCCCACGGAGAACATTATCAGTTTCCCATTGCTTGGGGGGTGTGAAAGACCGATCGCGGTTACCTCAGCCGAGGACGATGGGGAGGATTACGAGGAGGATCTGCATGATGGTGAGGGTTGGCTAGTCTGCGCCAGCCCTGGGTAAGTCCATCTTTTATACAGCAAGGCAGGGTTGCTGGGCAGTTGATCAGCACACGTTTCATTATTACTAGTTACTGCACGTTGCACTACGCAGCAGCGAGTTTAATTCGGAGCACCCAGCTGCGTGCTGCACATTTAACCACGAGGCATTTAGCTTCGAATGTGGAGCATTTAGCTCCCGTGGCAAAGGCCTGCAACGAGCCGTCTTCATCGTGTGAGTTGGGAGCCCAGATGTGCTCACCGCCGTAAGTGTAGCTTCGCTCGGACGTGTGCATTTCCTCCTCGGCGAGCACAATTCAGGAGTATCTCGGATCATTTTCGAAAGCTAGACGCACGAAGTCGAACAATACTCGGGAAATGGACGTCCGAGCGATGGCAGGTAAGATCCTTGTGCGTCCGCGCATTGGGCGCGCAGCGCGGCGACTGCACCGGCCTCGGGCCGCCTTGCTTTTGACAAAAAAGTTCTCCCGAGCAAGGCAGGTAAACGGTGGCTCAAACAGGTGCGAAGCGTCCCGGCTTGCTCATATAGGCCCACCACAAAATATCCTGAGACCTTGTTGTGGTTTGAGCGACGTGCTCTCAGAACGCTTCTGGCTTCGACCGTCTTGTTTTAACACGGTGGGCTTATGTTCTAAGAGCATCTGATGTTTTTTCCCAACCCTCCGTGGTTGGGTACTCGTTTTGAATAGAGCACTGTGGTCGCGTTCCTCCTCCTCCCGCCTCCCGCCTCCCTCTTGTCTCCTCTCGCCTTGTGGGTGTCGCGTGTGTGTGCGTGTGCATCTTGCATGCGGTACCTCTTGTGTGCATCTTGCCTGGGGGGCTGCGATCTGCGATACTGTCGTCACTTTCGAGGGCTGCTGGTGGGTCCACGGGACCTCGCCGTCCCTGGGGGACCGCGATCTGCGACATTGTCGCCGCTTCCGAGGGCTGCTGGTGGGTCCTGCGGAGTGAGGCACCGCGGGGATCTGAGCGGGACCTCGCCGTCCCTGGGGGGCCGCGATTTGCGACACTGTCGCCACTTTCGAGGGCTGCTGGTGGGTCCTGCGGAGTGAGGCACCGCGGGGATCTGAGCGGGACCTCGCCTTCCCTTGGGGGCTGCGATCTGCGACATTGTCGCCATTTCCGAGGGCTGCTGGTGGGTCCTGCGGAGTGAGGCACCGCGGGGATCTGAGCGGGACCTCGCCGTCCCTGGGGGGCCGCGATTTGCGACACTGTCGCCACTTTCGAGGGCTGCTGGTGGGTCCTGCGGAGTGAGGCGCCGCGGGGATCTGAGCGGGACCTCGCCGTCCCTGGGGGGCTGCGATCGACGCGGTCGCCGCTTTCGAGGGCTGCTGGTGGGTCCTGCGGAGTGAGGCACCGCGGGGATCTGAGCGGGACCTCGCCGTCCCTGGGGGCCGCGATTTGCGACACTGTCGCCACTTTCGAGGGCTGCTGGTGGGTCCTGCGGAGTGAGGCGCCGCGGAGATCTGAGCGGGACCTCGCCGTCCCTGGGGGGCTGCGATCTGCGACGCGGTCGCCGCTTTCGAGGGCTGCTGGTGGGTCCTGCGGAGTGAGGCACCGCGGGGATCTGAGCGGGACCTCGCCGTCCCTTGCGGCGGCTGCGATCTGCGACATTGTCGCCTCTTTCGAGGGCTGCTGGTGGGTCCTGCGGAATGTCGCCGCTTTCGAGGGCTGCTGGTGGGTCCTGCGGAGTGAGGCACCGCGGGGATCTGAGCGGGACCTCGCCGTCCCTTGGGGGCTGCGATCTGCGACATTGTCGCCTCTTTCGAGGGCTGCTGGTGGGTCCTGCGGAATGAGGCACCGCGGGGATCTGAGCGGGACCTCGCCGTCCCTGGGGGGCTGCGATCTGCGACATTGTCGCCACTTTCGAAGGCTGCTGGTGGGTCCTGCGGAGTGAGGCACCGCGGGGATCTGAGCGGGACCTCGCCGTCCCTGGGGGGGCTGCGATTTGCGACACTGTCGCCACTTTCGAGGGCTGCTGGTGGGTCCTGCGGAGTGAGGCACCCCGGGGATCTGAGCGGGACCTCGCCTTCCCTCAGGGGGATTTCAAGAGCTGCTGTGGGATACGTTGGGTGCAACGGGCGCATGGCACAGCCAACGGGGGTGATTTGTTATTACGTTGCCCTTAGATCTTGACCAGGGGCCTGCGAGCCTTCCGATTGCTGCTCGCAGAATCACATGCGTCCATGTTACGCCATCGCCCCCGTTGTAGCAATCTGGATGTACGTATGCCCCGCATTGCGCAAGGGTTTGGGTACGTCGCCAGGGTAATTTACACTCTGGGCCATAACGCGCGTTATGGCCCTACCCTCATTCCCTTCCCCCCCATAACGTAACGCTCCCCCCCTTAGTGCGCCCCTGGCGCTGCCGCAGTGCGTCCCGCGCCACGGTCTGCTGGGGGGGGAGCTAAGCTACGTTACGCCCCCTCCCGTCCCCCCCATCCCCCTCCCCCATGACGTAACGCTCCCCCCCTCAGAGCCTCCCTGGCACTGCTGCAGTGCGTCCAGCACCGTATTCTGAGAGAGGGCGGCGCTGCGTGATGCCCCCTCCCGTCTTTCCCCTTCCCCCCCCCTTCCCCCATAACACCCGTTTTGGCCGCGAATCGAAAGAAATGCGCTCATGTCGTGGTAGGCCGATAGGAAGGCCGGGACGGTCGGCCCCTGCCCAGGGTCTCCCGAGCAGGGCATAGGGAGAGGGTGGAGCACCGCCGGCGCGCACGACGGGCTGAGTCAGAGCGGGCGGGCCGTCTCGGAAGGCTCCCGAGAAGCCTTCTGGGCCATCTCCAGAGCCACAAGCTCGGCGTCACCCCAACATGCAATGGGGGCGCACATCCAGGAACCCTCTGTTTTTTTTGTCAGGCTTCCCAGGGTTTCTTCGCTCCGCGCGCTGCGCGGTGAGTTCCCGCGGCAGCTGAAGAAGCTGCTGCGTTCTTGGCGCTCCCGGTTCCCCTCAAGTGCGCCACGCGCGCGGGTCTTCCGGGTTGGGTTTCTTGCGATGGTTTCTTGCGGCCGCGCCTTCACTGTACTAATGTACTGCGGTTCGCGCGTCGCCCACCCAGGGGCGACGCGCGCACCGAGAAATCTTCTAGTTTGAGGGAGTTTCTGTGGAACTCACGTCATCCTCACCCCCGGCGCGAAGAGCACGAGTCCAGAGCGGCCTCCGGCACCGTTTCCGGACAGATCCGGTGGATCCGCTGGATCCGCTGGATCCGGTGACGAATCCCAAACCGGCGCCCTCGCTTGAGACATCCTCACAAAACCGGCCCCGGGGGAGGTGCCCAGAGGAGCCCAGAGCGGCCTCCGGCACCGTTTCCGGACAGATCCGGTGGATCCGCTGGATCCGCTGGATCCGGTGACGAATCCCAAACCGGCGCCCTCGCTTGAGACATCCTCACAAAACCGGCCCCGGGGGAGGTGCCCAGAGGAGCCCAGAGCGGCCTCCGGCACCGTTTCCGGACAGATCCGGTGGATCCGCTGGATCCGCTGGATCCGGTGACGAATCCCAAACCGGCGCCCTCGCTTGAGACATCCTCACAAAACCGGCCCCGGGGGAGGTGCCCAGAGGAGCCCAGAGCGGCCTCCGGCACCGTTTCCGGACAGATCCGGGATCCGCTGGATCCGATCCGACGAATCCCAAACCGGCGCCCTCGCTTGAGACATCCTCACAAAACCGGCCCCGGGGGAGGTGCCCAGAGGAGCCCAGAGCGGCCTCCGGCACCGTTTCCGGACAGATCCGGTGGATCCGCTGGATCCGCTGGATCCGGTGACGAATCCCAAACCGGCGCCCTCGCTTGAGACATCCTCACAAAACCGGCCCCGGGGGAGGTGCCCAGAGGAGCCCAGAGCGGCCTCCGGCACCGTTTCCGGACAGATCCGGTGGATCCGCTGGATCCGCTGGATCCGGTGACGAATCCCACTGGCGTAGCGACTTTGGGTTAGAAAACTTGAAGCTGGCCAGCTTTGGTTACAGCATGGTGTAAGTTGATACATAGCTAAGGTCATCTGAAGAACTAACATGCAACTACCCAACTTGATGTTAGCATAGATGGTTGCATTGTTTACCACTTGTAATTGCAGCTGCCCAAGTTACCCAGGGATGTGACTATCGTAACTGCGAGTTGTAAGTTGCAGGCCAAAGAACTTATCAAAGTTACAAATAACTTGTAAACTACTTGCAACTGTCTGAAATAAGTTAAATTTGGGCTCCTTTGCAACCCTCGAATTGTACATATCGCACATTATCATTCCCCTCTCCCCCCTCCTCCCCCGCGTACCCCCATCCCCCCGACGCCGCGTGGCTGCTGAGGCTTCGGATCGCAGACCGAAGAAAGAGGCGGATTGCGAGGAGGATGAGCGATTCAATCGCTGCAGGATCGCAGACCGAAGAAAGATGCGGAGTGGAGGAGGATGAGCGATTCAATCGCTAATGTTTTTTTGATGAGCGATTCAATCGCTGTCCTGGCAGATGTTGTTTTCCGCTCAGTGCAAAGCAAGAATGTCGCCAGAGGCGAGCTCCGACCAAGCGTGGCACATCTCAACCGATTCGCCGCTCCACCACGCAAGAAGCAATTCGCCGTCCTTCCGCAGGACTGACGCGTTCGGCGTCCGCTTCTCGATCACGACGCACTCGTGCCCAAGAATGAATAGATCGTCCCCCCGTTGGCCCAGAGCTGCGACGCATAGAAAATTGTTCTGCATGCGCACCACGTCGCCTGCCCAAACAAGCAAGCCTTTGAAAGCAGCGCTGGATGAAAGGACGACGTCGCCGCCGACTGCTTCAGCCAGCAGGGGCGACAACTCCGCATCGCCCCCCCTGAGCCCTGGGCGCTCGTCGAAACTTTCGAGCTCCTGCAGGCGCGCCAACAGCGCGCGAGAAATTGCAGCTTTCTCGAAGCCTTTCAGTATATCTTGGTTGTCCAGAATCATTTTCGGCAGAAGGTGCGACCTCTCAACAACGAAGCAATCCAACACAACGTCGAATTTCTCCACTTGCTCGGGAATGTGCGTCGCCAAATGAAACTTTGGTTTCCAATTGTCGGCCCCGCATGCTTTTTCATGTGCGTCCGCGTGGCGATCAACTGCAGCTCCGAAGGCCGAGGCGTCGATGTCGCCCGCCTTCGCCCGTTGAATTTTGTCAATTACAGCGAAACAATGGCAGAGGGAGGCAACTTCGTCGCGCAGCTCATCGAAATTCGGCAAGATAACAATGCAAGCAAAATGCCGCACCAGCGGGTAAATGCACAACAACTCTGAGGCGCTGCTTCGCCAATGCTCCTTGGATGCGTTCTCCCTGGCCTTGCAGAAAACAACGTGGGCCTCCCGACACTTGCGTCGGTGTTGCTGGGGGAAAGACCAGTCTGCCTGGCAGTACCGTTCCAACTTCGGATAGATGTCCCTCAGAGCAGGAATGGCTTGGCATGCCGACATGAAGCAAAACATTTCCTGGGACGCAACACCATTGCACAAATATACATGCATCCAATCAAAATGGAGCGACGAAACAGGGCCGACCTGCC